CATAATTAGATTATACAACTCTGAGGGGACAAGGGGCCAGACAACACAAAGAGACTTAATCAACACATCAAAGAATTAGACAACAAAAGCGCTAGCCCCGGGCTTTTCACATGACACAAAAGGATCTCTAACAAAGGCACTACACAGGAGGGCATTTCACACCTACGTGTGATGTACCTCACCCCTCACATCAAAGGATCTCACACCTACGTGTGAATTCACACCTAGGTGTGACCTGCTCTATCAAAATCAGTCGCATTGACCCGAAGACACATTTTGAGTTGTATACACTGTTGGAAAGAGGATATTCCTAGCTTTCTAATCAATCAATCAATCAATCAATGTTTATTTATATAGCCCAATATCACAAATGTTACATTTGTCTCAGTGGACTTTACAGTTTGTACAAAATATCAGTATGACAATACGACACCCTCTGTCCTTAGACCCTCACATCGTACAAGGACAAACTTCCGAAGAAAACCCACAGTTTAAAGGGAAAAATGGGAGAAACCTCAGGGAGAGCAACAGAGGAGGGATCCCTCTCCCAGGACGGACAGACGTGCAATAGATGCCGTGTGTAAATTGAAAAGATAATACATTTGCAACATAGTTAGTCCAAATGTTTGGAAATGCATGTGTGTATAATAGGAAGATGAATCCACGAGGATATCCATCCAGGACCTATGATCCAGGACCACAGCCACGACTCAAGATCTAGGACAGAGGAGCGCAGGATCATCCATGACTCCGGATCCCGGCGTATACAATTCTATCCTGTGTTCTATAGGGAGCCAGTGTAAGGCAGCCAGAACAGGAGTAATGTGGTCCCTTTTCCTAACTCTGGTTAGTACACGAGCTGCAGCATTTTGAATCAGCTGAAGCGACTTGACTGACTTCTTGGTACACCCTGATAATAAAGAGTTACAATAATCCAGCCTTGAAGTAACAAATGCATGGACAAGTTTCTCTGCATCGTTTTGAGGCAAAATATGCCTGATTTTTGCAATGTTACGTAGATGGAAGTAGGCGGTCCTTGAAATTGATTTTATTTGGGCGTTAAAGGATAAATCCTGATCAAATATAACACCAAGATTCCTTACAGTCTCACTGGAGGCCAAATTAATGCCATCCATGGTTAATATATCCTTAGATAATTTGTTTCGTAGATTCTTCGGGCCAAGTACAATAACTTCAGTTTTGGTCGTGTTTAACATCAAAAAGTTTAAGGTCATCCACGTTTTTAAGTCCTTAAGGCAGTCTTGAATTGTATTTAGATGATTAATTTCATAATTGATAATGATATCAGGATTGTTTTTGTACTTCAAATATTAAGCGAAATATGTCACATTATATAATGACTGTCACCGAGTCATCATTTTGAGAAAAAGGCCTTCAAAGTTGTCTCTTCTCTGGAATCCATCGATCTGATTGATTATTAGCGGAGCAAATTATCAAAATACTACCGAGGGAAGATATTTTCGTTTGGAGGGGAAGCTCGCGAGTGTGTGTGTATACGTGTGTGTACTTGTGTAATTTTGCGTTTGTGTGTATTGTGTTTGTTTCCCGGGGAAAACACTCACGAGAAACACCGGCTGTTGTTATGCCTGCTGTGACGTCAAGTTACTCCGTTCTCCGCTTGTAATTATGCCGAAGCTTCAAAGTTGTATTTATCATCTGAATTTGCCGAAACAAGTTTAATATTCTGAAAGCCAAGACTTTGTTTAATTGAAATCAGATGAAAACAAACTGTTACGGACCCTGCCGTGTTATCTATGATTACTATACTCTTACATTCATAATTTCAGCGGAGTGAGGGGGGGGGGCGGCGCTGCGGAAGAGCAGATTGCGAGTGAGAAATAAATAGGAAGGAAATACAAGTTTCATATTCTGAAAGCCAAGACTTTGTTTGTTTAAAATCAAACAAAACGTAATAACGTAACCAGATGAGTGATTACAGCGCCCGGTATCGTTTGACACACATTTGTATCACACAGATGCAGGACTTGCACACGCCTGTTATCTAACCGACAGGTCCGCACGCACTCTCCAGCTGAAACTCTCTCCTTATTAATTTAAGCATTTTACTTATTAATGTATGCAGACAATCACACAATCTATGTGATTTTTGGATTTACCGTGCCTCTCAATTGCCCGTGACAGGTTGGCAAGGTCGATGAATCCTGAAGTTGCCCAAGGATTGTTCAGGGAGCACGAATCCTTGTCAAAAAGAAGACATGGTCAGCAAAATAGACGCTGAAGTTTAGCGCTTCCAGTTAGCCACTCCGTGCGGACATAATTGTCCTCATTGAACGTCCGATTCTCTCCCTTTTTCCTCTGTGTACACACAGCTGGAGTGCGGGCATTGGCCTGTCATCTGATTTAATTTTTAGTTGCTGCTGTAGCGGAAGTTTAGTAAAGTTATGTTTGATTAAGTACGCCAAATCTCCACCCTCCATAATGCTTCATTTGCTTGATAATTTCTAACGGCGGTGATGACAGTTACAGTATTAAAACTGATGTTGATGTGATTTGATTGGATGGCAGTGTCCAATCAAATCGCCAGCCGCCTCTGAAGGGAAGCAAGAGGCGGCTGGCTTCCCTTGGCATGGCCCTGACCAATCACAGGTTGGCAGGCGCATCACGTGGGCCTCATCTGATTGGTCAATCCCTCCATTTTTTTTCACCAAAGGAAGCCAGATTCGGCTGGCCTCCTCTCGCAACAGTGAGTGCAATCTACTGTTTCACCATAACATCTAGAGGGGCGCTGTTTCACTCTTTGTAAAGTACTCAATGAGAATGGGGGAGAGACGGCCGGCAGCAACACACAGCAAAGGAGAATTATCTAAACAAAACAAAGTGTTTTTATTTATTTATTGAAATTATAACTACAATCCGAAAAAACAGGAGCCTCCAGGAGAAAACGCCACTGACCCAGAGAGGGTTATTTGGTTATTATTTATTTCATAAATAGTGTTATTTATTTCATTAATAGTGTTATTTATTTCCTGACTTTTTTTCTGTGAAGATCCCGGAAAGGGTTATTAATATTTGGTTATGTGTGGCTTTCTAGAAAACAATAAATGTTTACGTTTAAACACCCATGCGATCGTCACACTTTTTCTGTTACAAACTGACCCGGCCCCCATCAGAGAAGGGAAAAGTTATGTGGCCCTCACAGGAAAAAGTTTGGGGACCCCTGGTTTAGATAGTAGATCTTTAGTCCAAGTTATCTCAGTGGGTCTCAAACGGTTTGGTCACAATTTATGTAAGCACATATTTCCAAGGCACTCCTTTATAATTATTGGGATAAAACAGGTTTGAAATCATTCCAATGTATACTATAGGACAGTAAACCAGACATATAAAACTGGAGAGATAAAAAAATATGCATAAATAAAATAGTAAAATAAGATATGAATGAACAACAAAAATAAAATACGTTACATGTATTTGTTATTGGCTATGGTAGGTTATTGGTTATGTTCACATACTTATTTAATTATTAAAATGTAAACTGATTTTTTTCATATGGGTGTTTAGAGTTGTACCCCCTAGATCTAGTCTCTAGTCATTCTGCTTAAAGTGCACCAGATTGAAGCATTTTACTTCAAAACGTTCAAACATTTCTTCCAGGTATGCCTGAGAAGGCAGATATGCTTGTTTTTCTCAACAAGAACTGTTTTTAAATGGAGGGGGGTTCCTTTAAAAGTTGGACTGTTGCAGCTTCAGTGGTTCTCAGGTTACAGTTACATAGCAGTGAATATAAACAGACTGATTAATGTGAATATTACTGTAAACTAACCTGTGTAAAAGTTTCTTGAATAAATGTAATTGTTTTGATGGAAGGAGCACGTATCATTTTTTTACCCTGCCCCTCGGAATTGTACGCCCCCCCCCCCCCCATGGAGAAGAAAAAAAAAGTATTTGAAAAAAAAAAAAATAATAATGTTTTGCGAGATATTGCAAAACCCTGTTGCAGTTTGTAGACGGTCCCTAGCACTCCTCTCCCTCCTCAAGCTGCATATTGTGACCAATTATTGATGTTTAGCTCGGATGACGGCGCGTATCGAACTGTTCTGATAAAAACGACTCTATAGCTCGTTGTCTACCTTGCTATGATTGTAAAGTCAGGTTGTTTGCATTTTTACAACGTTATGTTGAGTTATTGATCCGCGAAATTCGAATCTGTCAATAACTCAGCTCAGAGGGACGTGCATGTCCCCTCGCTCTGAGTGTTCTCTTGAGGTGTCTTTCACTTATGTGAAACCCGTGCCAATTGCCAAGCACTGATGTTATATATTTATATTTAAGGCCAAGCTCAAAGTAAAATCGATGAACCGCTCCATTGTTGTGGTTTCTGTGTTGCCGTAGCAGCCGAACTGACCAGGAAGTACATTGAGCTGAATGAAAAGTTCGCAAAGCTCGCAAAACATTTTTTTTTTTCAAATACATTTTTTTCCTTCTCCATATCCCCTAGGGGGCTCTGTAGAATTGAGAACCGTTAAGAACCGGAATCGAAAAGTAGAATCGGAATCAGAATCGTGGAAATTCAAACGATACCCAACCCTAGTAACGCCCCGATTGTATTGCATGGTCTGCATGTCCGGTGGTGAAATGATTCAAGCCGGTTTAGTGTCCTGAAAGTAATTTTAAAGATCCTAAAACTCACACTGATTATACTTTTAAGATCAGGGATGCAATAGTGTAAGAAATTAAAATCAATGTTTAAATGACGTAATTTAGATTAAACATACTGTAAACTTAAAACTGTTTTATTCTGAAAAGCTTTATTGAAAGACATCCCCGTTGTTTACATGACGTCACTTCCGGCTTCACGTTATCAATGATTACAGCCGTTAAAATGCATTAAAAAAAAAGTCATGAATGAGAATACGAGGAGAAAAGGCGTGTGGAGTTATACAATGTCTAAATCCTCTTATTTACGCGATGTCAGACACAGAAGAACGAGTGGAGGGAGACCCCCCATCTTCGAAGCCGCCAATGAGAGGAGGAGCCAGGAATCAGATATAGGCTCGGTCCATGTAGAATCGGTCTCTCTTCTTCACCCTTCTTCGAACATGGCGCTGTGTTCTTGATTTGCTCTGTCTGTTTCAAAACCTTCATTTTTTACTTCATTAAAGTACACCATTTGAACTTTTCCGGGACTACATTGTCTCTTTTTAACGTCCTCCTGGACTCGAGAACAAGAACAACGAGCAAATCTACACTAGTCAGCTTTTGGTTACGGTCCCCTTTTCCGCCCAAAATGTGGCAATGAAATGAATTGTGTGAAATGTGGATTTGTGTCTGCCCTGGCAGCTCCTTGAGAAGTGCTGCTCTGGGAGCATTCACTATTTTCACCCTATACCGTATGTGTTTGCATCCCTGCTTTCTTGTCTAATGTTTTGGTGGGATCATCATAGTGATACAATATTTGCTTTTGAAGGTTCCTCTCTATCCTGGGCTTCATCATCAATATCGACGCGTTGATGGTTCCTGTGCTGCTTGAAGGACAGCGATATGTCCTGACCGACAGGTTCAGCCAGGACCACTTCGAGCTTCTCTTTAACTCCATCAGAGCATAAGGTAGGGTTCATATTTACCAGCCGCAACACTAAGTGACACAAAGTATCAGCAAATGCTCGTATTCTTTTCAGTTTGTCTGTCCATATGTTTTTGTTTTTTTGGGGAAAGATGCGGTTCTGCAGACATACAGTATCTGGAAGTGTCACAGAAACCATTTTGAGTATTAAGAAAAATGTATGTGTGTTTGTTTATCTGTTTTCAGAATTTGTCACCACTGTGATACAGTCTGAACTGTATGATAATGTCTTGCAACTAAATGTATGTGGAAAAAGATCATTCAGGCGTGGCTAGTTCTAATTTGTCTTTTTAAAAGCATAAAGATATATTGAATATCTGTGTAATATACTTGTATATCTTGTGTTTTTTTAAGGTGGCTGGAATAACAACCCTAATACCAGCCAGGTCAAATACATCTTCCGGAAGCTGATGGTCCGGTGTGGGGTTGTTAAACCAAGCAGCAAAGGCAATGTGACGGCACAGGATGACACAGAGTCCCTACCAGCTGTAGCAATGTCCTCTGCTGCCCAGTCCTACCACATCGACACATCTACAAACCTGTCAGCTGCAAATATGTCCATCCCCATTTGCTGACATTCCTGCCCTTGTACATGACCACAGCTGCCTTCCCACCCGCTTCAATGGTCTTGTGGACAACGCTCTCGTGTACATTTCAGGTATAGTTATCAAACTACCGTAAATGATAACTGCCGTAAAGTATTTCCAGTATTATTAAAGTATTGATTACAACGTTTAAAATTCAATAAATGAAAAAGTCATGAAAGATAATATGAGGAGGAAAGGCGTGTTTAGTTATGTATTGAATGTACAATGTCAAAATCTTCTGTTATGTGCGATATCGGACATTGGTGAAAGGAGGGCGGAAGATGACGCCACAGCCTCCATTGAAGAGGAGGAGCCAAATGAGATATATAGTCAGGTGACGGAGCCTTGTGGACGCTCTTTCTGGACGGCCGCGACTGCGGGAGGGAGCTGCAGCTCCTCTCTCTGAACCATATCTCTGCTTGTAACTTTACCGCGCCATTTTAATTAAAGTACCCATTTGAACCTTATTCGAGAGACTCCATTTGGTCTCATTTTGGTCTAAGCTTCTCTCCTGGACGCGAGAATAACGAACGAAAGCTTATACTGGGTATGTACTGTAAGCAGGCCAGGATTGGCCATCGGCCCACACACACACACACACACACACACACACACACACACACACACACACACACACACACACACACACACACACACACACACACAGGTAGTATTGAAGAAAATTGAAGTAACGTGATTCAGCAAAAAGTTTAATACAGCGTATTTTTGGTATATTCATTTTAATGTCACCTGATATATAAGAAGTGTGTTTTTATATATTCATGTGTGTACTTAATTACTTTGTATTTAATAGTAGCAGTTTGTATAAACAAGAAACTGGAGATATGAGAAGTGAAAACGTCCCTGTTAGAAGTAAGGGAGAGGGGAGAGATGAAATATCCTTATGTGGGTACAGCGTGGCAAACATCTGGAGGACAGCAGAGTAGAATGTGGGTGGGTGTGTTCATTGCAGTGGCTATATATGCTGTATAATAACTGCTTAATTATACTTGTGTTTTATTGATTTCTTTCTGTTTTATTCTTTTATGTTGTGAGTACTAAATTGCCACAACATGGTGAAGTAGTGGGCTTAAATGTGCTTAATTACTCTGTGTGAAATAGGAGCAGGTTTGCAGGACAGGAGACTAGAGATGTGGGAGAAGGAGATATTCTTATTTAAACACAGGATGTCAAGTATCAGGAAAGTCTACATGTCTTAAGTGTATGTGTGTGTATAATTACTTTGTATCAATAATAGTAGTCTGTGTAACAAGAAGTTAGAAATATGAAAAGTGAAACCGTGGTATTTGGAGTAAGATGTGAGCAAGGGAATGTCCTTATTTGGAGATAGCTCGGATCTCTGGAATGCTGCAGGGTAGAAATGAGTGTGCATTCTCTATATATGTTTATACTATTTCACTGCTTGAGAGCAGAGGTAATGTTTTCCTCGTTATTATTGATATTAAAGTAATTAGCATATATTGCTTGTATTAGTCAACTATAACAACTATATCTTAAACATATGTGAAACTGTGTGTGTATCGAAATGATGGGGGAGGGGGCCAGAGAGGGAAGTCTCTGCAAAATGTGTGTGTATGGAGGCTTCCACCAGATGACAAGCTTGTTATTCAGAGCAGGTTCGGGCCGGACACCAAATGTGTCTGTTTTACCTCAAATGTTAAAAGACTCTTGTTTCCGGGTCCTCAGTTGGCTCGCGTTGATTCGCTACGAAAAAGCTCATCGTTTTTATATCACCCAATGAATGGACTCTATGGGAGGAGAATCCAGCACAACTCCTCCCCGTTCTTTTTGCATGTAAGTCTGTTGTGTCCTTAGATCGCTCTCTTTTTCCTCCTGCTGCCAAGACTGGAAGATTTAAACAGCACTAGGACCAAGAGCAGGAGTACTCCTATTGTATTGTATTGTTACCTTTTATAATTAAAAACAGATTATTGTTTAACTTGTATCCTGGTGTACTTTGATTCCCTTCCTTTTATGATTTTAAGCAGCTCACCAAACGACACGCGGAGCCGAGGTGGGTTTTTAGACCCCTCAGACTGGTGACTCCGACGTTTGTGAGTGGGATTTCAGAGGAAGGCACATCAGCAGCCAGCGGACGGAGCAGTCCAGGGATAACACACCTCGAAACGTTCTGACAACTAAAAACAGAGCTCTGTAAATACAAGGTAAGCAGATACCGGTTACACTCAAAATCTGTGATTTGGCTATATTCAAAATGTTAGTGTTGTCAGGAATATTTCCCAGTGTCATAGTCTTCACGGTAAAGAATACAATACATATATTAGATAGGTAGGAAACTTATATAAATATAAAAGTGAAGCAATGAGGTGTGTAAGTTGATGGTGAAAGGCCCCGTAGAATTTTCCAGAATTGATACGGCCAACTCATTCAATTCAATTTATCCAGGTAAAATCCCATTGAGATCAATGATCTATTTTTCAAGGGAGACCTGCAGCAGTAGGTTCCACAAGAAGACATAAAAACATAAACAACAGAACAACAAAAGGACATCATACAGCAAAATGTACAGGGATTACAATTTACATATTTAACCACAAGTACAGGTACCAACAGCATCTGATTTTGTAGCATCCAACCGAGCTTTGAAAACATGTAGTGGTACTAGCTTGGTAATTTTCCATTCTTTTTGCAGACTGTTCCATGTTAGTGGAGCTGCACATCTAAAAGCTTTCTTCCCTAAGACAGTCCTAGCACTTGGCACATTTAATAAAACCACAGCATGCGATCTCAGGCAATAAGTACTTTCAATTCGCAGAGAGATCAGGGAGCAGATATAAGATGGTAGTTTATCCAACATGGCTTTGTAAATGAAAAAGTACCAGTGACTGAGTCTCCGTACAGTAAGTGATGGCATAACCGCCTTGGTATACAGGGTACAGTGATGCGTAAGTGCTTTACAATTTGTCAAAAATCTCAGTGCACTGTGATACGCAGCATCTAACTTGCTCAGGTAATTGGCAGGTGCATTCATATATAACAAATCACCATAGTCCAGCACAGGTAAAAAGGTCACAGTGACTAGCCTTTTCCTGGCCTCAAGCGAGAAACAGGACTTATTTCTGTAAAAGAAACCTAGCCTAACCCTCAGCTTTTTAAGCAGGTTATTGACATGAAAAGCAGGTTATTGACATGAAAAGCAGGTTATTTACATTGGGGAAGTTCAGTGGTTTTCTAAAGACTCCATCCAGAACAAAACAGAATAATACTTTCCAGTCTCATAGGAAGCTGCAGCTGTATTATAAGTAACAATCCAAGAGGAGAAAACGCGAACTTCAAAAGCCATTTGAAACGACCGGAATCTCGTTATCTCTTGCTCTGTGGGGTTGAATCTATAAGGCTAAACGTGACGATAAAGAGATTCTGTTGACCTGGGTTTCGACCCCATGTGAATGCCACATCGCTGAAAAACGGTGTTGAAGCGCGTTTCAAGGTCTCCTAAATCTGTTGAAATAAACATCGCACTATAAAAGCTGGATAGACGGTACGGGGAATAATTTAATAGATAAGGGAGAAAGTCAGATAAAGACACAAAGTTTAAGCTTGTTGCTCTCAGAAGAATTCTTCCCCTCAGTGAGGTGGAACTCATTCCTGGCCAGGTGCCGCCATCAGGGTGGCCAACAGGGTGTGGCACAAAAGAAAGACAGACTAATGGTTAGGTATGGTTTTTTGGCTCCATCTGCTGGACGTATTTTGTAGTATTTCTTGCATTATTACATTACATTTGACTGGCGCCTTTATCCAAAGCGATTCACAATAAGTGCGTTTGACCAGGAACATACAATCAAAACAAAACAGGATCATTAAAGTATATCAGCTTTTATAGAGCCAGAACATTTCAAGTACTACTCAACTGGCTTTAGATAAGCCAGTCCGTTGTTAGTATATAAGTGCTTTGTTAGTACTTCTTTGTTAATAATTCTATCATTCGAAGTGGAGTTGTAATACTTGAGTTTTTACACTCAAACTATTTACACATTTAGATTGAGGGCAGGGCAATTAAATAAATACATTAACTACGTTAGGAGTAACGACAAGCATTGTCCAGTATAACAATAAATACAAGTGAACACATATCAACCTAGTCAGATAAATAAGATACAACCACCATGGAGGGACAGTTTAAAAACAAATGATTTACACGACCCAATTCCCGGAAGTTTCCGAGAACAATGGGGACAGACTGAGAGATTGATTCTCAGTGGAATAAAACAGGGAGACAAGAAGAAGGCTTGTGCCGACCTCCGATTCCTCCACAATAAAATGATAGAAGAAGACAGAGTGGGAGGAGATGACACTCTGGGAAATTTAGGCTCAGCTCTAAATGTTTATGAACGACAGCTTGTAAAAAAACTTGGTGACCTAAACGAACAAAAACACAGATTATTAGGCCGGACGAAACTAAACAAAGAGAAGGAGGCGGTAGATAAAATACGGAGGCTTTGTCATAATGCAGCACTCGCCATGAACGGGGTAGCTGTTACTCCCTTCACAGCCAAGACTTCCCCAGTGGGGAGTTGCAAAACTCTACCTTCCTACTCTCCTGTTCCCTCATGACAGTATAGGGACGCACGTGTCAGCCCAAGCACCTACAGATGAAGAAATACATCACTATATAGCAGAATGTGTCAGGGGTTATAGGAATATAAATAAAGAGGAAACCTCTGCCTCCAACAGGGAAGACATGGGGAGGCAAACTCTCAGCAGTGCTGTAAATGACGGGTGCACTGCACAAAAGGCTGGCTCAGAAGAGAGGTCTCAGACAGGACCTATAGAGGATCCGTATGTCCCCTTCATTTCCCCCTTCATTTCCCCCTTCATTTCCCCCCGCATTTATCCGGACTTATTTAATCCATTTAAACAACCTCCCCCTTACTCTCCCCCTGTCCAGGACGCACCCCCCATGTCTAATCTACAGATGCCACTAACAAAAGGGGGCTATGGATCAGACCAAGAAAAAGCAAACGAAAAGGGGGGTAACTTTAAAAACATGGGAAATGTTTCACTGATTCCTTTAAGGAGTACCTCTATTAAAAGAAGCAAGAGCAGCCCCACAGAGACAGAATTACTCGCCATTGTAGAACGCCACGAGGAGAGGGAAAAAGAGGATAGATTACGGTTCGACTATGACAGAAGGCAATATGAGAAGAGAAGAAGTGATAGGAAAAATGGAGACGAGGGGAGTCGGGGTAGTCAGGAGAGAGAGTGGGGCTATCACCATGAAGCGGAAGAAATACTGACACTTGAAAAGGAGGAAAAGGAACAAGAAAGTCAGAAGGGAAATGGAGGTAGAAGAGAGAAAAAGGGAGACAGTCAAGACAGAGCTGAGGACAGATACTCTGAGG